GCTGTGTCCCATGTTTATGTAACATGCATTGCTTTAATCATATTCATTATTCATTTCTGAATTTTTCTTTTTTCTTTCTTTTTTTTTTTTTTTTTTTTTTGTCTTTTTCCTTTTTATCGGTACCAGGGATCGAACTCACGACTGCCTGCTTCCAAGGCAGGCGCTTATGCCGCTGAGCTAAACCTCCAGCCCCAATTTCTGAATTTTTCAATATCCCCATTTTGGGGCCTGTGTGTCTCTGATTTCTTTGTATGCTTTTAAAGTGGGACCAAAATATTTTACTAGAGGCAAAATAAATGTAAACATGATAAGAGGATTATTCCCTAGTCTACACATGTTACATGCTTCCTTCCTTTAAATCACTTGGAGCTGGGTGTGGTGGCACAAGCCTGTAATTCCAGCACTTGGGAGGCTGAGGCAGGAGCAATGTTTTAAGTTTGAGGTCTGCCGGGTCTGCAAAGTGAGCTCCAGGTCAGCCTGAACTGTAGAGGGAGACACTGTCTCAACAAACAAACCAACCAACCAAAAAACCAAACAAAAAAAAAACCTGAAAGAAAACAAACAAAACCCCCAGATGATCTGAAGTCACCTTGTGGCCAGCTATCCTTCCTAAGGGGCTCGGTCTAACCAGACAACCTTCCTTATCACCCAGCTGTATTTGCTTCAGGTATCACCATGTTTCTAGTAACTTTAGATGAAATTAGATGAACAGTCTCTCCCAAGGCAACTTCTGTCAAACAGTCAAATTATATTGTTTCAGCAAACTCAACACCAAAGTGCTACCATTTTTCAAACTGCCACTTTCCAAACATTTTTCTGTTTAGTAAAAAATGACTGTGAGAGCTGTGTGTGGCTAACAGGGCTAGACATCTCATTCTCATAAGGTGAATAATGTGCTTTTATAAGTCTGTTCACGGCACAAGCCTCACGATTTTGAAGCTTACATTATCTAGTCATGAGGTTATTTATTTACCCTACTATAAATACTCCAATTCATTAATAATGCAATTTTAAACACTGAGTTTCCCTCAGGAAGAACAAGGCACACTCTGCTACCTCCAGGAGCACGCACTGCAGTAAGCACAGTAGCAGCACAGCCTTCCTTCAGGGGAGGTTTTCTTTTGAAGAGAAGGCAGCAATTTCAAGATCAGTGGACTCCAGAAAGATTGCACTAGGAGGTTTTAGTGAGATGGGAGCGACATTTGTAACAGACGGGTTGGAAGAAATAAAGAGTTCTGAATTTAGTATGTCAACAGTTTCAACGTGCACGTACAGTCCTGGATTACTTAACAAGGGGGTGCATTCCGAGAAACTTGCCATTAGATCATTTTACCGTGCAAATGTCAGCGTGTGCTTACGTGAAGATAAGAAGCTAAGACACTGCTAGGTGACAACACCTCCTGGGACCACCGTCCTATGTTTTTGATGGAAACATCCTCTTGTGACACATGATAGCATTCCAAGCACTTTCAACACAGATTATTCTGATATATAAAAACCCTAGCAACAGAAATAGTTGCTAGGAAAGAGGAAAAAGACTAGAATTTTCCTGATTACAAATGGTCAATAAGAAAAGAAACATGAATTTGCCATTACTGACTTTGAATACCAATCTAAAGGTCTAGATTTGTCTATAATTAGATTTTGTAGTAAGTTCCCTTTCATGAAACTTCTTTTACTTAAAAAAAATTCTCCATTATTCCATTAAAATGTGCCCTTTTGCCTTCCTAAACCTAGCGCTGATTAATAAAGAGTGACCATGGCTGCAGACCACCATGGCTGCAGTCCACCGAGTCTCACATCAGCTCTTCCTGTTTTTCTTCTTCCCTCCCTTCCTTCTTTCCTTCTTTCTTTCCTGCCTATGCTGGCAGGGTGGGAGCTGGGGACAGAATTTATAAGGTAAAAGTCCATGCTCTAGATTTTCACACTGGTAGAGAACCTAAGTACCATCAGGAAAAAAAGAAATGGAGGCTATATATTTCAAAGAAGAAATGGGCGAAATCTAGTCCTTAATCTAGTGTATTTAAACATTTAAAAAGTACCTTTCAGGATTATCTAAGGGATATTCAAAAGCTGACTTGGAATTGAAACAACAGTAAAATTTGTAAGTTTCATGACTGTGAAAATAGTCAGTTACATCAAACTCAACCTATGTGGCCTTGACTTAATTTAGCATTCTGCTTTCCTTTCCGTCCAGCATAATTATTCTCAACAACAGAGAGGAAAAAGTCTTCACCAGGATCAATCACATCAATTTTTTTTTGAATTTAAAAAGATATATAGTTTTCAGATATACTTCTCCTCAACTATAAAGGCAAAACATGCTCACTATACAAATCTAGACAAAAACGGAGTAAAGAAATTACATCCATTTCTAATGCCTTTACTCAGAGATAAAACTGTTAACTGTATAATGTTAAGTAGAAAATACCTAAAAATTATGAATATACATAATGAGTATTTTACACTTAATTCAAGAAAAAGAAATCTGCTCACCATGCACCCATCACTGTGTTCTTGGAAAATCTCAGATGTGAACTTGACACACAGTACCATAAAAAATCTGAGTGTAATGTCATGGATAAGAAGAGCTGTAAACTAAAACTGCTCCACCAAAATGTTGTCCAGCTGTTAAATCATACAATTATACTCGAATAAAACTGAGAAAAATTATGGCCTGGAATACTTGTCCAAATTGTTCAAAACCCCAATATAGGAACACTCGTACATAAACAGTATGTGGTATTTTCACATATTAGTAGTCACTAATTATGACTCTGGATGACTAGGCTTTGCAGGCAAAGCAATGCGTGCTGTGAAGAGAGGGCTGCCAGCAGGATGCAACAAGCACAAGTTTCCAAAGCTTGTTTGTGTCTCAGCAATTTTTCATGGTGTCCCCAAAGCCCCCCCCCCCCAAAGCTACCAATTCTGTTAATTACACAGTTATGTACAAACAATTTAATAAACACTTTTATATGTCCTAACAATTTAGTAGCCATTTACAAAGTAATATGCATAAATTGAAAGAAATATAGTTTTACATTTTCTTAAATGACTGCAATTACTTACTAATGGGATATATGCATCTGATGGGCACTGTATAATGTCTCAACTTGGAGTCAATTGAGTATCATCACTGTCACTTCCTGTTCTGCACTGATTCTGTACAGTATTTGCTTTTATCACAGTAAATGCTGGAAATTAACTTTGCAAAGCTAAGAATCCATCAAAAAGAACACAGCACAGTCTCCAGCTGACACTGGGCCTTCTGTGAATGGGAGGACCAGTGGTGTCTACCAGATGTTGAGCCCGGTGCTGCCAGTGAGTTTGCTGTGGTCCTCCAGGAAGGCAGACCCATTGTAGGTTTTGGTCAGCCTTTTCTGGTACCTACTGTCCTTGTAAAAGTGCAAGGACCTCCAAATAAAGGGCTGACTCTATAAAGATTTGACGTTTCTGACATGTAAACTGCCACTTCTTTTATTAGAGAGCACAGAGATCCAAAGTAGGGTACACAGCATTCCTTAGTTATATGGAGACAAAATGAACCTTCTCATGGCCTCCCATGAAGTGTACATTCCTTGGGGCTACAGGTACCTACACAGCCACTTTCAGATTCTTATTTATCCTACTCATACAGAATGCTTGCTAAGACAGTGCTACAGTCTGCTTTTATAAAGAACAAATCTATAACTAAGCATATAACCCAAAACGGGTTGAATAATATGTATCTTAAGCAATACAGTTAGAAGCAAGGAAAATGCAATCACGGCCCTCTTGGTTTCTAGACTAATCTATCATAGTAATTTAAAAAAATATCCTGTCTAGAGCTGGGGGTATAACTCAGCAGCACAGTGTCTGCCTGGCAAGTTCAAGGTCCTGAGTTCAATTCCTGATTCCAAAAAAACAAAAATACAAAATCTAGGAAGCATAATACTTGTGTTCCCCAAGATGTTCACGTCTTTTTTTTTTTTTTTTTTTGTCTTTTTTGTTTTTATTAGTACCGGGGATGGGGATCGAACTCATGACTGCCTGCTTGCAAGGCAGGTGCTTATGCTGCTGAGCTAAATCCCCAGCCCCGATGTTCATGTCTTGATCTTTAGAATTGTGAACAGTAAACCTAAGATGGAATTAGTGCTGCTAATCAGCTGAGTTTAGAACTGAGAGATTATCCGAGGTCACGGGAGTGAGCCCGATGCAAAGGCAAGGATCTGTACAAGCGAAACAGGGATGTGAAAGGGAACAGCACAGAAAGCGGTGACCACAGGAGCTGGGTGCCAGGGCCATGCCTGGGAGGACGTGGCCCGCACACACCACGGCTGGGGCTAGAAGACGGCAAAGGTGAGGAAGCCCATGAGGCCAGGGCGGGGCTCCTTCAGCCCTCTGAAGCAGAAGATAATCCAACTGTGTTGCTTTAAGTCACTAAATTCAAGTAACTTATAGCAGCAACAGAACCAGACAGCCCCTGAATGACTGTTAATAAAAACAGCAGCAATTACCAATGTTTTGGGCCAATTAGACGTGCCAACGAAGATGACTGTAACACACTCTCAAGTACTTCCACTTCCTGTAATGATAACGTAACACAACTAAACATAAAATAAACCTTCTGGTGCTGAGTCAGACTTTTACTGAGGTATGCTTTAAATGTCGTATCTTTTTGCCTTATTTTTCTCACTGCTTAATGATGTAATGATTATAACCAAGATAAAAATCTTTGTATTGCACTCTGAAATAAATTTTAAATGAGAATGTTTTTCTATACTATATGAATTTAAGTCAAAGACTTTACTTCTTTTCCAAATGTAAAATGCCAATTAAAATATTTTTACTTATTTTTGGGCTCTTTTTAGATGGGATGTTTGGCCAGGAGAAGCCTTTTTTATACATTTAACAATTATTTACAGAAAGCAAAAAAATGTTCTACTGTCAGAATATGTATACCTGTACTTCTGTAAATGAAAAATACTTAGTCTACTTGAAGTTCAAGTAGCTGTTCTCACCTGTGGTCAAAGGTAGGTGTGTGATGCTGTTCAGACAGGTCAGGGTGAACCACGTAGATGATAATGTCGCCCCAGAAAAGAGGAGGAGGAGGATTAGTTTCAGCATACCACGGATAAAGTCTGCAAACCTAAAAAGAAACAAATTTCAATCGATTTTAGTTGGACTTTGTTATTTAAATTAAGGATTCAACTTTCATTAAACAACTGTTTACTGAAGAACTTTTCATGTATTCTTTTAATAGCTACTTATATTTTTGATGTTTAGTCGTTTTAGCTGACAAAGTTTCTTGTGTGTATGATGTTACTTTTTTCTTTATAAAACACACAAAATGTCATCTGTTTGGTATCGGTAACTCATAGGATAGATTTTGAGATTTTATTTTGCTTTCTTTTTAAAAAATTTTTTTTTTCTTTTTCGGTACTGGGGGATTTTGAGATTTTAAATGACAATTGTATTTTCTGTTTTTCTTTATTTCCTAAACATTCTATAATGAACACGTATCCAAGTCTTAGACAACAGGCTCATTAACTGACACAAACTTGCAGAGATAACTCACAAAATTCAAAGTCAGAGCACAGACACAAATGCCTACCTCACAGCGTGGGACGTGCTGCACGACCTGGTCCTACCTCTGCTCCTCACTGGTGACTGGCGTTCTGTGTACAAAGGTGCTAAGGTTGCTTCCTACAGCACTGGGCAGCCTTTCACTTGCCCCATCCGGCTGGAACCCTGGAACCCCTAGGGCCCCACATGGCCCACTGCTGCTTATGTCTCAGCTCATTCAGATCTCAGTGCGACTGACCCCCATGCTCCCTGAGCCAGCCCTCCCCATCCCACTCCACGTCCCATCTGACCCCACCACACTGCACTGTGCTGCTTTGGAAACTGTCATATTTCTGTATTTTTTTGTCTTCCCTACCAGACTATAAAACTTCCTAAGCATAAGAATACGGCATCTGGAATATTAGGCATTATTCTATAAATTTAGGGACTTCAATAGCATTCTGAGTTCTCAAAATCACAAACATTTTATGAATCAACACAAAACTTAAAGGCATGCCAAATATTTTTCTATTTTCTGACTGCTTTTCCTCACACGCAGGTGGTAGACTGTATAAAGCGCAGTCCTCTGGCTGACCCTATACATAATTTACTCTGTGCTTTAGGACTGTGCTTATTATAGAAATATTGATCCCATCTTCAATCTAACATTTACCATGTTTTCTCCACTTTGAATTTAAAAAAACTGATTATAATTTCTTTTGCAGTTATGTGGCTATTATTCGTAACACTTTCAATACTATTCTTTGTGTGGCACTTATTGACATCATGTGGTTAATCATCTTAGTGTCTTTCAGACTCAAATGACTTCCTATGGAAGCTGATGCCATCTTTTGGTGGGAAAAATAGATGCAGTTTTGCTCAATGAGGCTTGCTCTCATCTGCAGAAAAGTCTATGTATTCTGAAAAAGCTTCCACAGCTTACTAGAAATGTCCCTCAAGACAACACAGAACCCTCTGTTATAATTCCAAGTTTAGTAAACACGTTTCTGGTTTACATTTAGGGTATGCTGCAAGACAGCAGGTGACAAAGTAGGAGAGATTAAAACACTGAGCTGAACTATAAGAAACTTTCTCAGAACCTAGTCATGTAACAATAAACTGACCACTGTGGCCTGCTGTTTCATTTGTCTAAGATAGGATCTCAGTAAGAGATCAGGCTGGCCTTGAACTCACTATGTGGCCCAGGCTGACCTTGAACTTGTGGTGACCCTCCTGCCTCAGCTTCCTGAGCCCTCGCATTACAAAGATGTACCACCACACCTGGCCCTTGTTTGCTTGTTTCTTGAGATAGGGGCTCACTACGTATTTTAGGCTCATCTTGACTTTGGAGCCATCTTCCGGCCATCACCTGTTGAGTGCTGGGATCAAAGGTACTTTTGGAACCTACAAGGCAGTACCTTGAATACTGGTCTTTAGCAACATAACTATAAAACATTTACCCAAAATACAGGCACCCACAAGGAAAATCCATTCTAGGAAATTGTCAAAAAATGATGTTACAAAAATACTTTAAAACTTGATTTTAAGCTAAAGAAATTCTTTCTCTTTAGCTAAAAACACTCTTAACCTGGTTCTGATCACAGAGTAAGGGAAGAACTTTTTAGAATTTCCATTCCAACAATTAAAAAGCAGAAATGTCGTTGCTATTTTTCTATCTAGTTGTGCTTACATAGTTTAAAATTAAGGGGTTGTAGAAACAAAATGAAAAGGAAGGATAATGTGAGATGTCATTTTGGATACATAATGGTTCCCTCTTTGACCTGTTTGGTGTTCAGAAAGGTATTTGGTCAGTGATGACGTCCTATAACTGGCTTGGAGTTTTGGTTAGAAAATTAGGTATGATTGTTATCAAAATGTGACAGGTCAGTGTATTTCAGTACCAGAGAAATGATTTCCTCCAGATAATATTTCCCCATTCTGCTTCTTCAGTTTTTAGATTTTAGTCTTGTATTTTTCTAATTTACAGAAACCTCAAAGAAAGTGATTTAGAAGTTAGTGTCAATTTATTCTTTCATTATCCCAGGAACACTAGGCAAACTGTAAGGTCTAGATACAATATTATCCTGTTGTTTGTAATTAAGTATTTAGATAGTGAAGTGATTTACATGAACTTATTTGATTTCCCCAAATATGTAATCAGATCCCCCCCCAGTAAAGTTGATTGCCTAATTGTTTTGGTTTTTTTGGGGGTGGGAGTTAAACAAGGTAAAATGACTTGGGAAGTAAATGAATACAATCTCCTCAAAAACACTAAGAGTAGTTTCATAGTATTTTCATGTCACCAAAAAGTTTGACAGTTTCATACTTTTTTTGGAATAAATGAAACCCCTTTCTTTCTGATTCACTCTAAAAAGGCACTGTCATAATGGGTTCAGATCAAAGGCAGTCCAATGAAACTGGAAACATCCATGGACATTTTTCATCAAAATGGGTCAACCCAGGAATAGATGTGCCAAAAAAGACAGAATTTGCAGGGAATGTCTAGAGATGCTCTCACAAAGGGTTCAGCTCCTTTTCTTATTTCATGTTAATTACTGATTTGCCTTTATTATATCATCTTTCTTTGGGTTTCACGTGAAGATTCCGTTCTTTAATAATGTGCACAGGCAGCTTAATGACACTGGAATATACTTTCAGTCTAAAAATCACTTTAGGAAGGACCATTTCTCAGAAAGTTCCTCATAGAAGCCAGTTCTATCGTCTGCATGTGAATTTCTTGCAGCCTGAACGGTGCCCTTTTCTGACCTTAGCCTGCTGGACTTTCCTGTATTGAATGTTTACCGAAGGGAATCTATTTCTCCTGGGATTCTGCCCTCTTCTGTGTGCTCATGTTTGGTATGAAGTATTCTCACCTTGCCATAGCTATGCCAACAACACAGCCTCCAACTATAGACCAAAATCCAATCCAGCCAGCATCTACCTGCAAGCAAAGGAACAGACATATTTAGTGGGAGATTTTCATTTAGAAGAAATAAAAAGTTCTGAATAATCACTATGTAACAAATAAAAGGCAAGACATCTAGGAAATACTACTGAACAGAGTGAAAGGATTCATATGTAAATTAATACAAACCTATATAACTATGCCCTTGATTAACTTTTTATTGGAATATTTAAATCAAAATAATCAATGTCACTAAATAAAATATTTCCAGGCATATGCTACATGTACTAGGACTCTTAGGACAATGGGAAAAGGAGAGAAGATGATCACTGACTTCAAAAGGACCAACATAAATGAAACTCCTAGGAATTAATTCAGGTGCTAAAATATCTGACAATACCTAAAAATGTATCGATTTGGCTATACTCTTTTCAGAGCAATCTATAAATGCCACAATTCCTCATCACTTGTTTATCTCTAATAGTCACTTGCCTTCTTTCATGACTGATATTCAAATTTCAGTTTTCTTCACTGGTAGAATGGAGGAAATAAAGACTGTGTGAGGGTTAAACAGTAAGTGCAGTTGCTATTACTGCCGAAATTCTGTGTTTCTAACAATACTGGTGTTTCTCTTCTTTCACTTTCCCACTGCTGCCTGCTTATTATTTCTTTATTTCTTACTTCCAAACTGTTTTAATAGTTTCTGAAATGGTCTTCACAGCCTGTTTCGTGCTGTGTAGCCAAAAGATGCATGACACTGCCCTGCTCAGAAACAGCCACTGGCCACAGAGCAAAGTCCGAATTTGACCTGGCACTTGAGACAGCCCAAACTAACTTCTACCTTTCATTAATTTTTGAGTCATATTTTTCACTACTCTTGTGACAGGGACCGATAATTGTCCAATGGATGTTGTTTTCTGAGTACTTGCTAGACTGTGTCCTCACATCTCTGCCACCATGTGATTAAGTCCTCATAACGCACTTGAGCAGAAGGAAGGTGCTGCCTCCAGCTTAGGCTGCCGAAGACAGCTGTGTGCTCCCTGTTCCCACTACCTGGAGTCTGGATGCGGTCACCCAGGTGCTCCTATGCATGTACAGCAAGGTCCCAGGGACAGAACAGCTACAGTGTGGAAGCAGCCCAGATCTCTAAATCAGTGAGGGGAAACAGTTGTCCAAACTGTAACCAATTGTTCTGGACTATACATACTGCCCCATATTTTATGTGAAAGAGAAATTCTCTAAAGTGTCAAAATTGGAGGAGTCCATTTCTTATAGCAGCTTAGCCTACTCTAAGTAATACAATGACTGCATGCAAGTCTTTTGCTCTACCTGTATCTGCCACCAGAAGCAAACATACATATATAAATGTCTTTGGAGAAAGGTAACAACATTCTGAGGCTATATTATCGCTAGTTTTTCTTTTTTAATTTTATTTAAAGAAAGAATAAACAAAACAAAAAGAGTAGAATTAATACATAATTTCAAAGAAAAAATAAACAGTAAGAAATCACTAGTTGATAATTTCATATTGCCCTCTGACAAATAGTTGTTCAAGTTACAAAAGTGAAGCATACAAAGTGGACATTCAAACAGCGAGACTGCAAACAGTTCTGTTTAACTATCAAACAAAAACTTAGTAATATAGTTAACAATCCTACACACTTAAACATACATGCATATATTCATGTATGTTAAGATTAAACAAACCAAAGCAGGCTAAAAATCACTCTGAACAAAGAATAATAATATTGTTGGATTTCACATCATGACACTATGGGATCAGCACTGGGTACTGTAGTTTCTCTTTTTCTTCAAAGTAGTTGTTCATTTCATCATGTGTTATAAGATTAGTTCTCATAAACTGTTTATAGGTTCTACACATGCATGAGTCTCTACATATATTTTTATTCTTTCTATATTAGAGGGAGAAACAAAACAAAGTGAGACAAAACAAAACATATTCCTATAAACACATGAAATGAAAAAGTCATATAAAACCACAGTACAAGGTTTCTACAATGGTTACTATGTTGTCTCTTGTTATTTTCAATAGAATTGTCTATATCATCAGACATAGTATAATTGAATATAGCAGTACATAACAATATTAATAAAAATGAAACATTGTAGATAGTATAAAACTTCAAAAGCAGTAATAATCAACCAGAATGGGTACTGTAGTGAATCTTGTCATCTTTGGTGTAGTTGCCTATACTCTCAGACTTGATATTATCAATCGTAACAGTTTTAAATAAAATCCGTCAATACCAAACAGCAATCTAACAAACCAGATTCAACTAAGATCAGTCATAGTAAAACATGGCTTTAGATTAAGTTATACAGGGCTTCAGACTAAGTTAATAGGGAACTAAGGATGATTACCGTACTATATCCTGCTATTTTTGGGATAGCTGTCTGTGCCCTCAGATGGAGAGCAAGTAGTCAAAGTGGGACAGGATATAATCTATCTAAACAGAGCAGTGTGGGTAATGTGGGTTTTAAATCCTGATACACTATTAACAATATCTTCTGCCTTCTGTGTTGAGATTACTCCTCCCCTTTCACTTCCACAGGGTGCACTGTGCATTTCTGGGTTTCACCAACTCCCTTAGTTTTTAGATTGAGGGGGCAACCTACTATTTACCTAAGTGGTTCTGAACCTTCTCCCTCCTGGACTTGATCTCAAGTTGTATTCCATTACCTACAAAACCTATCTTTCCAACCTATCTGCAGGTGCTGGTTGAGTTGCCCCTATTACTTCTGGTTCCCCATCACATTCACCATTGTTTTCTCATATTTCATTTTCGTTCTGTAAACCATTTTTCAGGTTAATTATGTTTCCTATATAGAAGTTGGTAGACCCTGCCTCCTGATCTACTCTGCCTGTGTTTCTTTTTTTAGTGTATCAAGGCCATCTATATTAGAGATTATAGCCAACCTTTCCTGTCTCATTTCTGTTGTACTATTTTCCTGTCATTAGTTGTCTGCTTTTCTCCTTTATTCCACTTTCTGCTCCATTCATTGAGGCCTCGGTGCCACCGTTCCTGAAATACTGGTACTTTTTTTCTCTCTTTAGAATGTCCTGTAGGGTTGGGTTGGTGGTCACGAATTCCCCTAGTTCCTCTTTGTCTTGGAAGCATCTTGTTTCTCCATTAATTTCTAGGGAAAGTTTTGCAGGGTACATCAATCTGGGCTGGAGGTTATTTTTTTTCAGGGCTTGGAATACTTTGCTCCAAGCTCTTCTTGATTTGATGGTCTGTGTGGAGGAGCCTGCCATGATTTTGATGAGTTTTCCTTTATAGATGATCTGTTCTTTTCTCTGATAGCTTTTATTATTTTGTTCTTATACTGAATTTCTGAGATCTTGATTATTATATGTCTGGGTGTAGCTCTGTTTTGGTTGTAGGTGGCTGGAGTTCTGTATACCTCATATATCAGAATATCATTTCCTTTTCCTATGCTTGGGAAGTTTTCCTTAATTATTTCTGTGAATAGCCTTTGTATTTCCTTTGTTTTTACTCCTGCATCTTCATTCACATTCTTTATTCTTAAGTTATAGATCCTCTTGTCATCTTCTAGCCTTTGTATTGTTACTGCCTGTTTCCTTGTTATTTTTAAGAGATTTTTCCTTTCATGATTGCACATTGCAAACCTGTCTTCAAGTTTTGATAGTCTATCCTTAGTTTCTTTCAAGCAGTTTTGCCAGCTTTCAATGGAGAGTTTTATTTCCTGGTAAGCTCTTTGAACCTGCTTCAATGTATTCTAGGTTTTCTTTATATTCTTCATCGAACATTTCTCTTCTTTTTTTGTGTTCCCTATTCTTCCATTTGTATCTTCTTGAGAGGTGATTAGTATTTCTTTTATTAATCTACTTATATCTTGCTTTACTTGATTAAATATTTCACTTTTGAGCTCATCTGTGAGATCCCAAAGATACCTCTTTACATCCACTGATGCCGTGTCTGATATTGCAAGTTTGCTGCTCTCAGTCTCTTTTGTATTTTACCTCTCCTCGATCAATGTTCTCAGAGCTGGGGACTGGGGACTTTTTCTTGGTTCTTTCTCTGGTCATGTTTTTGGTTTCTTCCAAATAGGTGTATAGAGGAGGTCTCAGCCCCTTTCCTTGTTGGTTATGATTCTTCTGTAGTGCACTGACTAGGGTTTTCTGCCTTCTTCAGTTTGCTATTGGTCACTGAGGTGTAAGCAGGGGCAGCATATGCTGGTCCCTCCCCTCTGGGTCAGTCAACCTTCGGGGGCCTTCACTGCATTAGTGTGCACCGCGCATAAGGAGTTGGTTTGAGGCACCTTATTGGAAAGGTTTATTTCTTACAGTTTTTGGAGGTTTTAGTCCATATTCAGTTGGCTCCAAGGCAGGGTGGCATGGCAGAGCCACAGTTCAGGGCAGCTGCAAACAGTAAGCAGAAACTGGCAAAAGAGAGTGAGACACACCTTCTTCCTGCCATTACATTACATCCTGGCTCCACCTGTAGGCCAGTGTAGCACTCACACCCCCAATCCAAGCACTAGACAATGAACCAATCACAAATGCACAATGCAAATGCATGAGGCCTGGGGGCCACCAACATAAACCATGACATTGCATCTGTGCTCCTGTGTGATGAGTGCCCTTGTAACAGAGGCTACAGCACAAAGGGGCAACCTCCACATACAGAGCAATCCTGTGCCATGCGCCAGGTCTGCTAGGGCCTTGATTTTGGACTTCTAAGCCTTCAGAACTGTGAGAAGTAAACTTCTACTATTATCAATACACAGCCTGAGGTATTTTGTTAGAGCAGCCTGCACGGACTAAAACAAGTACACTAGATAATTTGGATTGGTGTTCCATTTGACAACTAAAAAATCTTTGAGGAAATCTACCTGAAGTCAATGGTCAGACAAGTTAACCCCAAATTACAGAGCCATGATCTAGGGTAGGAGGGAAACCCTGAGAGAAAAGCCTAATATTTGGAGACAGAATTCCCTGAGGAGTGCTTACTGATTTCAGAAAACGTGATTAAGGGCTAGGAAATTATCAA